GAGACTCTTGGGAGGACTTGTTTGAATAATTGTTTAGTTTCGGAGGCTGCTCTTTTGAAAAGGCAAACGAACTTTTTCACACTTTGCGCCGCCGGAAGTTGACAGGTATTTCAAGTGGAAGATTCAGGAAAAAAACTATTGAAATTATGAAAACGTTTTCAACCTATGTTCACTTCAATTGTCATTTAAAAAGTTTGGTTCTGAATGAAACCATGGATCAAAGTTTTAAAATGTCATTTTGAAACAAGAAATACCGAATTTCCTCTAATAGTAATACCATTATGAGGATCCCTAAATATCCTGCTTTTTGAAAAAAAAAACAGAAGTTTTAAATCTTTTTTTTCGTTTTGTTAAACTTCATCAGTCGTGGGCTTCAAACAGATGTGAACCGCTTTCCATTCTAATGGAGTTTTGATTTAAAAATATACCCAATTTTCTCATATTAGAAGCCCGCCCATACCGTCAACTTTAAGCTCAATTATCTCGATTCCAGTGAGAGATACCAAAAATTTGTCAACTGAAAAAAATATTAAGGATAGTGTGATAAATAATTCAACAGCGGATAAATTGTTGATATTTTTCATGGGAATCGAAATACTTGAGTTTAAAGTTGAAAGCTTGGGTGCGCTTCTATTAGAGGAAATACGGTGAGTTGTAAAATAAATTTAAAATGAACTTGGTTTTCCATAATATGAAATTCTAAAAAGAAAACAGTTCAAAAAAAGAATCCTTGTAATTGTCTTTCCAGTAAGAGATATCGAAAAGTTGAAAACAAAGAAAATGATGTTGCTATCAAAAAAAGACCAAACTTTGAGAAATCCGCCTGTCAAGTTTTCCTTAAGGTACAACGAAAAATCTCCAGTTAGTTGCTGTCTCAAAAAGTAAATAAAAAAGAAATCAGGTTGATTTTTGTCTGCCAAATGAAAAAAATCAAAGGATACGGAGAGTGAGAAAAAAGATGGATACACAAATAAATAAAGTGAAGTGAGATGAGGAGATAATATCTCGAATTTCCTGTTTGCAAATTGAAGTGAGTTGTTTTCTTGTAATTCCTCTCTAACACCCAATAATGCATATAAAGAGAATGAAAAAACGGAGAACTAAGAAGAAGATCCTCTCAGTCTTGGGGAGCTCAACCTACGCCCCGGGTGGATGATCTGGCACGATTAGGCAAGTACATCATCAAGAAGACGAAAAAGAATTGGACAAGAAGGATACATTGTCTTTTTGTGTTGCTCCTCTTCTTCTTCTTCTTCTTTTCTTTCTTGCCACAACGATAACGATTCGACTAATTGCGATGCCAACACGAAAGAGCACAACAGCTGCTGCTCCAAGAAGCTCTCCGGAAACCAAACGAGCGACACATTTCAAAACGAACGGGACCTCGAGAATTCATCAAAGCGTGAGAAGAAGAAGGCGCAGTTGGTGAGGCTGGAGAAGCATGATTCGTCAATTTAAACATTTTCTACAAGGGAGAAAATTCGTCAAAGTTTAAAAGAAAATAGATTAAGAAATGCAACAATACACACCACTTGGAAATAGGCAAAGCAATGTATTCAACAAAAGCAGAGACAGATCAAAAAGTTCAGTATACTCGAGCTTTCCGTGATTTGTAAGAGAAGACTTGAAATGGTAGTAGCAACTTTTTGCAATCAGCCATACTAATAAACAGCTGAATGATATCATTTCAAAAGACATCATTCCGAGACAAAATGATATCGAAAATAAAAAGCGCGATAAAACTAGCATATTTGTTCTGACTAAAATTGGCTATTGGTTCGAAAAACAACGTCATAGTTTTATAAACGGAATTTCTTTGCAAAAATCATGATCTCTCTGTCTAACACAAAATACCTAAAATTTGAAACTCGAAAAAATTCTCGACATTCTGAAAAATTACGAAAAGGCCATTCCAAACTTTCCTGGTAGATTCCGATACAAAAACTGAATTCTCATTATTTTCAAAATCAACAGAAATATTTTCAGATTTTTTTATATATATATTTCGTTTATTCGAAGGATTTGAAGAAATAAGGAGTGATGGTAACCGGGGAAAGAAAATGGTAAAAAACGAAGCTAAGAAGAACTAACCCGCAAGAGTTAGTCCTAATGTGGGGGAGGAAAAGAAAGATAGTGGCAAGATCAAAGGGATGGGGGCAAGTCAGAAACGGGTAATCGAGATCTCAAGAAGTTTTTGGAATTGTGAGGACGGTAAGAAGATGGGGCAGTTCTTCACAATAGCGTTCCAAATTGGGATTTGACACAGGCTATCCTGCCATTGGTTCTAATCCCGATGAATCTTTCTTAAAATTTTTGATCTTTTGCCCACTGCTGAACTGACTAAAACCAAGAGATCTAATGAATCGAAATTCTAAGAAACCCAAAATCTCAAATATTCAAAGAAAGAGCACTAAACCGCTAACCCTCACATGCATAATTCCCTCTTCTTTTTTCTTCCAAAGAGACCTCACGAATAAAAAGAATAAGACATGCGTTTTTTTTTCTATTGTTATCTTCCGGTCCTTTTTCTTCTACGATCCTTGGTTTTTTTTTATTGAATACTACGTATGGGGGAGCAAAATAAAAAGGCAAAGAATGAAAAGGGTTCAAGCCTTTCCGTTTTTTTTCCTGCTTTCCTCTACTGAATTATTCATCTAATCGAATTTCATGATGATCGACATGTAGGCAAAATAGAACTGCAAATGAAAAAGGAGAAAGAGTTTCTGGTGACAAAAAAGGAAAAAGTGAGTGCGTATCCTCAAAACTGCCTCCTGTCACCCGCTACCGAGGCATTATAATCGGTCGTTCGAAAATGTAGGACGAGTTGGAAAAATAGTAAAGAATTGAACAGAAACGCAGATGATGATGCAGCTGACTACTCACTCCATCTCTCTATGTTATTATTATTATTATAGTCATTATTATAACCAGCAGTAGCAGAAGAGACCTTCAGCCCAGGCACACAAATCTGCTGTGGGAGAATTGAAGGCGTCGGGTAGAAAGTAAAACGTCGGCGGTGAAAGGATTTGCCAATGAAAATAAAAATTAATCAAGGTTCGGTAAGCGAAAGGAAAAGAAGAAGAAGAAAAGACGAATGATATATGATGCAGTTAGGAAGGAAGCACGCTTCCTTCCACTAATTTGATTCCATTACATTATGCGACCGGTGACGTGCAAAAATTGGCTTTCGGCAGATGGACTTTTTTCACTTGAGATATCAACATTCTTCTATTTCTTCTTCTAATTTCAAATTGAGAGACATTTAAATGAATTTAAGGGTTCAAATAATTTCAAGGATAAATTAGTTGCTTGAAAAATCTAAAAAAGAAAAGTAATGAGGAAAAATGATTAGAAAAAATGAACTGAAAAAAATAGAGCTGGAACCAAAAGGAGGCCCGGTAGTACTGTATTTTCAAGCCAAATTTTGAGCTCTTTATATAATCTTGATATAATTATTCCCAATTTTTTTTGTTTTTTTTGGTTTGTTCATCTGTTTGAAAGCAAAAAAAATCAAAAAAACTATTTGATCAAAAAAATCAAGGTGGTCCCTTATGAGCTTTTCGAAATTTTCGATATTTGCAAAATGATGGCCAGCTCGCCAAGGCCCTGAAAATTGGGAAAAGGCCCGGCCCGGCCCGTTACAAGTATGAAGAAAAGATTTTTGGTTTTGCGGTTTTGTTTTTATGAAGTTGGGGCAGAACAATGCGAAAGGTTTATAAAACTTTTTTCAACACAAACTTAATAAAACCGGAAAATTTATGAAGCGCTAAAGTCCCAAAACTGAATGAGTGTTAAAAAGTCAGTCAGCTGGTCATTCCTGACAACTATTTAACTCTTCAATTCGGAGTTTCTAAAATTATTCAGTCGATCGTTTAAAAGGTTTTATGACTTGAATAAAATGTTTCCTTTTCAACTTTTCCCTACAGTACTCCTTTTCATTTCCGGATATTTTCTCCTACAGTAATCCTTTTCACTTTCAACTATTTTCTCCTACAGTAATCCTTTTCATTTTCGAATATTTTTCCCTATAGTAATCCTTTTCATTTTTTAAATATTTTTCCTACAGTAACCTTTTTGATTTCAGAATTTTCCCCCTGCAGTAATCCTTTTAATTTTAAAATGTTTCCTTCTACAGTAATCCACATTTAACAATTTTTACTGTGAAACCATCGTCCCGCGCAAAATTTTTTTACAGAGCTATCATGATTTTGAAACGAATATAGATCGTGTTCTGGTCTTGATGAAATGTGGCCTAAAGTCACTAGACCACCCTGACCACATTTCAATTTTAGTTTCCCTAAACTTATTGACTGAAAAAATAACTACGTGGGGCCGATGCGGGATCTCTACAATGTCGTAATTATTATGTTATTCATTAAGATCAGACTACGAAAAGTAGACTCATTAGATGATGGGATTCTCTTCCAGTGAAAGAGTACCCAGTTAAGTGTTCGATGGTGGCAATTAAAAATAAAATACCTATTTCACTTTGAGTTTATATTTTCGCTTTTGGATATTGTATGAGAAAATGAAAATCAGTTTAGCTTTGAAATATTATAGAACAAGAACTCGAAACTTCTCATTGGAATTTATATAATCTTTATTGAATCAATTTGTCTGTTTTATTCACAGTATTGACATTGTGTGAACAGTCGTTGCTTTTCGATTCGATCGGGACCCGAACAATTTCCGAAATCTCAATGCGGCCTGAAACTGAAAAAAGTCAGATTTTGAATTTAATGGGACACTTCAAAAACAGCTCCAAATTACATGCTTTTATATAATTAAAAATCGAGAAGAGAAAAAAATAGAAATCAAGGATCGGTCACAACAGAAATACACACAGGTATCTAAAAAAATCGCAAAAGGGGGAAGAGATCTGGATGATGTGAGAACGATGAACAAACATTTACATTTCAGTACACAATTCGAATAAAAAATGAAGGGGAAAATTGAGTTGAAACAGCAATGTTAAAACATGGTTTCATGCTGTAAATATATCAATTGAAACTAGCCCGTGGACCGGTGATTGAAGTGTTATTGATCGATAGATAGGTCTTTTTCGTTTCGTTTTCCACATCAGGCTTGTTGCAGGAAAAGACATCACGTAACCTAGAAGACAAGAGGAGATTTTAGAGATGCAACCAATCAGAGAGAATAGAAGAAAAGAATCTTACCTTCTGCGGAATTTAGTTGAGAAAAGTGTATACAGAAGAGGATTGCTCGCGGAGCAAGTCATGGCAAGAGCGTTTAGTATTAGTATATATTCGTATGCCGGATGAATGGAGACGTTCAAGATTGCTCTGTATTGAAAACAGTATGATTTCGAACTGAATTTCTAAAAAACTCACTTTGATAAAAACATGAACTGTATTGGCGAATAGCAAAGGAAATAAACAGCGACACAGGCGATCAGCATTTTGACGACGTTTCTTCTCGTACGAAGAGCTTCGGCACCACGAATTGACATTTTGTTTTCCAAGCAGGATCGAGCTTAAGACGTTTTAAATGTCTATAGTTGAACAACAAAATCAATACTTACTTTCATTCTGAAGAGTTGGATCTTTGCACCAGAGGCATCTGGATACTTTTGTGTAGACGACGATGATGATGAAGCATGGGCTCAAGTAGAAGGAGAGGAATTCGCTCCATTTGTATGCCTGCCACCACATGGATTTACCGGCGGTGTTGGAACAAGTTGCTGGAAAAGAAAATTATTCTGGTTTTATTATTCTGGTATGCAAAAATCGGAGCTGTGGAAAGAAACGCCGGTGGCCGTGGAGTCCAAGGTCCCACAACGACAAATACAGTAACCTAAAAATATTTTTTATTTCTTCATTAAATGTGTTGTGTTTCAATGATTTTCCTCGAGTTTTGTTATTTTTTAAAGTGAAAAAAACTGACTGAAAACGCACGAAAATCGAGAAAATAAATCTATATTGAAATGAATAAAACGAAAATATTTTTCGGTTACCGTAGTTAACGTTGTGGGACCTTTGACCATGGCCGGCGTTTCTCTTCAACAGCTTTAATGTTTTGTACCAGGAGAATAAAGGTTTCAAAAATGTCTTACTTGTTTTGACGGTGTGGTAGACAGCGTACGGCGCAGCAAAACAGCACACGATTATCCACGAGACAGCTACAGTAATCAGAGCGTTACGACGAGAGCACAAGTGACGAGCATGAATCGGAAGGCAGATTGCGATGTATCTGAATTTTTAAAACTGAACCACGATCGTTCAAAGAGCCAGTCAGAAAACGCGTCCCAGCAAATCTCGTAAAGATTCTAGAATTCGCTGCCGACCTTCGTTGGCTGAGGATAAAACTTTTAAACGATGAGCCCAAAAGCGCGCGGTTACTACCCGGCGCCATTTTTGACCCATTTCATGGGAACCCAGTGCTAAACTGAAAAAAAACCACAACTAAAGTTTTTGATCTTCGTCTGATCTCTGTCATTCATACTTTTCAAAGTTCTCACCTTTCAATGCAAACAATTGTTTGAGTTGAAATAGATGCAAACAAGAAGACACATTCGAGATATCTACACACTGGACACATGAATGAAGGCAACAACCTAAAAATTAGTTTCATAAGTAAAGGAAGATTCAGATTCACTTACCAGCCATAAGTATCGAAAAATACTGGAGAAATCCATTCGGGAATCGTGAAGATGAGATTCGCAAGATCGGCAACTGCCAGATTGAGCAAGAGAATATTCATCACAGACTTTCTCATATTACGATCACCAGCGATCGCGTAGATCACAAATACGTTTCCGATTATTCCGACGACAGTGAGAATGCTAAACAGCACCGCGAACGGGATGGGTGCCACCACCGTCATCGTGTCGTTTGTGCTGCTAAAAATATTTTAAGAATTGAGAAATAGAAGATTAGAGAGGAGTAAACAATTGTAGAGATATGGTTGTAAAGTATAGGAATACGCTGATTTTCAAAAGTTTCAAAAGTATCCAAATTTAATGTCCAGAAGCTTCTGAAATAGCCAAAAACGGGCGAAACCTCATCAAAAATTACCAAGATTGTCTTTTGTGTCCGAACTTTTTGGATTTGAATTTTTGTAGTTTGATAATTTGTGTACATTGAAACGAAACTTTATGTATACCGAAATCGAGGTATAATGGAAGTCAAAATGTCTTTTTGTCATTTTTCAGCAAAACATGTTTTCCATGTTGGGTCTGCGACACCTGGTGATGCTTTTAATAACCAGGCCAAACTCCAATTCAGAAATCAATACAGAATTTCTTTCACAAGAGAACGTCCACACATTGTGAACACAGACTTTGATGGAAATTTCAGAATATGTTAAGAACAGCCTACCTAGACACTTCTGGAAATTGTTGAATCCACTCGCCAGTTTCAGCACCAAAAACCACGTTTTCAGTGCAAAAACAACTGATAAAAGGCGAAAAAAAGAGAGTAATCCTTTGATTTTCTGAAAGTCTAACTAGACTAATATAACAGGATTAACACAAAATATCGGATGTCATCAGCATTAAGTGGGAGTTAAAATAGTGAGGATAGTGCTCAGAAACATGTAATTGGCGAAAAAAAAGCTCTCATTTTTGTCTCGCGTAGGAGGAAGACGACACAGACGATAACAAAATTGTTCTCGGGTTTTAGAAGGTGTCAATTGGAAATGGGCATAGTTCAAGAAGAGGAAAGTCTCTCATTTTGTGGCCAATCATGGACGGGATATGGAAAACAACAACAATTTCCTCTTTTGACTTGAAAATAGTCATGAGAGTTAATGAAAATACTAGAAGGTTTATTTTGTCAAGCCAATTAAAACTAGAATATCTGAAATATTAATGTTTTACATTCAAAGGAGAGGGGATAATGGAAGAGTTAATGTCAGGAAACATGATTAGGTGCATACTTGTAATCCGGGCCTTTGCCAGGCCTTCGCGGGCCTTGCCATAACTTCTTTCAGAATAAATGTTTTCGAACCAACTCAATCAGGTATGATAGAGCTCCACGAGTACTACAAAACGGTATTATTTGGAATACTGTACTTTGTATGTGAACAGAGTTACAGAGCAAAAGGAGCAAAAAAAAACAGGCCCGGCCCGGGCTTGCCGGGCCCTGCGAGAAAAGCCACTTTATGATCTGTAACTTTGTTCATAGATAAGATACAGTATTTCAAATAATACCGTTTTGTAGTACTCGTGGAGCTCTATCATATCTGATTTAGTTGGTTCGAAAATATAGATTCTGAAAGACATTATGGCAGGGCCCGCGAAGGCCCGGCAAAGGCCCGGATTACAAGTATAAGGCCCGGATTACAAGTATTTAGGTGGAGATGTGCTTAAATTTAGTTATAGCTTCTTAAATCTTAGCTAAGCCATTTTTCTTTTTTTTCAACAAAGCTCTTTTTGAAAATTATAGACAATTTGGGTAAAAAACTTTTTAGTCATTCTTAGAAATTTTCTCAATTATATACCTAATCTGATTCTTGAAAAGTTATTGAATCAAGATCTTCGTGTTTTGAACTAAAATATCAGAAACCTTTGATTTTTAATGTCTTTAAAAACAAGTTTTTTAGCATAATTCAAGAGACTCGATGTTTGTTTCTGGCTCTTCAGAATCTTTGAAAACGTTGACACAAGTTAGCTTTGGGAAAAATTAAAAAATACTTTCTCTTAAATTCAAAGCTAATCTCTGCTCCAAAAATCCAAAAGCACGAAAATTCGAAAGTTCTGGGTTTCGATAAAGTTTCGTGCGTCATTTCTCTTTTTGATTTTTCAAGTACCTTTTACTGCATATCAAATGATTTTTCGACTCTTATTAAAATTGCAAAAGATCACAGTTCGTGGAAAGAAAAACTTTTCGATAAGACTTTCTGAAATCAGAGAGACAAACATAACGGAACTGACCGGGAACATTTTCAAGAAAGATAGGGATCAATTTTTGATACATAAATGTCGAATGAAATCCAAAAACGAAAGTCGTGTTCTTCTCGAATTTTCAACGAAAGCAAAAAACCGACAGAAAAAAACCATGAGCCCAAAGAGTCTTTCTCTCATCTGCTGAACAAATACTTTCAACTGAAAATTATTTTTCCTAACGAAAAAGAATAGTGTAGTAGAAAAAAAAGAAGGAGAGCATGAAAACTGGAACGGATATATTTGATATCTCATTCGAATACTCTATCCTTTCTCTTTTCTGACATATTTAGAGTGCATAAAACGAATAAAAGATGAGTTTCGAAGGCTCCTAGAAGTTATTAGAAAAGGGGAAGGATCAAACAAAAGTGCTCGGGAAGAGGAGAGAGTGAGAAACTTGTTGTTTGAAAAGCAAGAAGCAAATCTCAAGCTTTTCTGCAAACTGCCTGTTTAGTAGCGAAGGGGAAAAGGAAGATTCTGGACAGGAAGCTTCGAATTCAACGGATCATGAATGTCACGTATTGAGGTGGTGGTTCAATGATTCAAGGTGAATTTGAATTCTAGAACTAATTGCAGGGTGGTGCACAATTACCCGGTCTGATAAAATCGGGTATACCTTCAGACATAAGTGTCTTGGAAGAACGAAAATTGGTAGAATATAATTTTACATATGATTCAAAGAAACTGAAACTTTCGAAGAGATTCCTCAGGTCTAGGTATTGTTATGATTATTTAAAGATGAACGGCATAATGTTTCTTGATTTTCATGTGATGAAATAATTTGACCAGCAACAACTCAACTCGAAATTGATCGAATCGTTTGAAACTTGGCCATGAATGAAGAAAGAAATGATGAACTGTTTGAATTTTTCGCACTTCCAATTTGAGTCCAGTACCACGCTTTTCTCCAATTTTATGCTAGTACAAACTTAAGTCCGGGTAATTACCGTATTTCCTCTGATAAAAGCCCTCCCAAACTTTCAAATTTGAGCCATTTCATCTTATTTTCGTAAAAGACATAAAAAAGTGATTAACTGATCAATTATTTCTGAAATCGTGAAAAATATTTTATTAGTTGACAAATTGTTCATATCTTTCCCAGGAAGTGATATGAATTGGCTCAAATTTGAAAGTTTGGGTGGGCTTCTATTAGAGGAATTACGGTATACGCCGCCCTGTAGAAATTTTAGTAATTTTTAATTTTGGACAGTACAGAATTTTTGAAAGTCAGCTGATTTTTTGTGCCACTTGAAAAAACCAAATCACACTTTTGCATTCAATGAATATGATCTTCTCAACTCGAAAAGGAAACTTCTCAAGTGCCAAATTCAACAATGCCCTTTGACACCTAGAACGCTTTTCTTTTTTTCTGATTCGGTGCAAAAGTAGAAAAGAAGTAGAGAAAAAAGAAACTGGGTCGGAAAATCAGTGGAGTTTCGAGGAAGAGAGAGCACACGGCCAATTCAAAATTGTCGCCGTTTTTTGCTTTCTTGTTGAAACAGTGTTGAACGATTTATGTAACGAGAGAATTAGAAATGGCTGAGCAAACAGTTGAATTGAGTCACTAGGCCAGTTTTACAAAATACTGTAAAACTGAGAAATGATCGAAAAACAATATTTAGAGTCTAGGATGAGCCAAATGTTCGGAACAAAACAGGATTTCTCTGAATGTGACATCTTGGAAATTTCTGGAAAATGAAAAAGGATTCCTGTTTTTCAATTACTTAAAAACATCGATTCCACAAATATTGGATCCAAATCAAAAGTTCTGAAAATGGTTGTGGCGATTTCATACAAAGCGTACCCTTCAGCCACGTCACACTCTTCTGATGCATAAAAAATTACTGTGTGAATGAATCTTAAAGGAAAACAAAGGAAACGGAGAGAGAGAGAGAGAGAGAGAGAGAGAGAGAGAGAGAGAGAGACTTGAATAGTTGATTTTGAATTCAGATGAAAAGAAAAAGAAAAAACAGAAGAAGTGCTTATCTCGTCTCAGTTTTAAGTGCAAGCGATGAGAGAAAAAAAAGAGTAGATGAATATATCACGAAAAGGAAGTTCGGAAAGAGTGGCTTTTGGGATATGGATGTAATTACTTTTGCAGATAAAGTGTTCTAGGAATATCAGAAAGCATATTAATGCAAGAACAAGGAGATCAACTACTTTTTAGAAATTTAGAATTCAAACTAGATACCGTAAACATTTTTTAGAAGGCCACCGAAATCGTAAACTTTGAGCTTATATATCTCGGTTACTGTAAAGGATTTCAAAAAACAATTAACTAATAAAATGTTTATCAAAATATAAAAAAACATTTGGTCAGTTGACAACTTTTTGGTATCTTTGACAAGAACCGAGATATATAGGTTCAAAGTTAATGATTCCTGGTTCATTTTAAATTGATTTTCTACTAGAAACTTTTGAACTCCATCCTAAAATTTAGGAACTTGATTTAATAAAATAAAGATTGTAGATTGAAAAGTTCCTATTACCAACTTGATTACTGTTTCTTTATTTTTGCTTAAGCTAGAACATATTCTCAAGAAGGCCCCCACACAAGGAGCATCCTCAAGACTATTCTATTTTCTCCATCGCCTCACCCCAAAAAACCAGAAGCCACTGGCTCTTGTTTTTTCTTCCTTCTACATGTTGAAAATTATAATGACGTTAAAGGAAGAAGAAGACTACGTGAGGTCTACAAATTAGGTTAGTCACATTGCTCGAGAAACAGTGCCGGAACATGAAAAGAAAGAATAATGGCTCTTTATCACAAGGGGGGGGCAAGGGAAAAGGGGGGCCCAAGACAGAAGGGAGGTCCATGGGTAAAAATTATGTCTAAGTTAAGATTTTTGATTTTTTCAAATTTTGCCACTGTTTTTATGAAAATTTCGTACTTTGTGCTTGTTTCCATAAAAATTCATAACTTCAAAAAAAGTTCATTTTA